TATTGCATATAGTGTTCAAAGAATTCTGGTGACTCATTGGTTAAAGTATTTAGATATTTATCATTCACCTGCTATGCATCAGATGCATAAGGATGACAGAAGGATTGCTGTCTTTGATTTGTGGCGTTGAAGAAGAGTACTGAATATCCATGAAAGATCCAAAAGAAAAACAGGTCTTGGAAAACGTGCAGCCGGAGTGCTCCCTGCGGGCAAAAATGGGGAAGCTTCATCTTTCAAACTTTGAATGTATAGCTGAGTGAAGCTATTCCTTGGAAAGAGTAAAGGTTCAACAAAGGAAAGGAAGACCCTGGATAAGATGGATTGACACAATGACTTCAGCAGTGGGCTTCAATGATGACAATAGAACAGGATAAGACAGATTCAGGTTGGCTGCTCATAGGATCACTGTGAGTCATATTCCTCTTGATGGCACGTAACAGTGACAAAGGTTGGCAGTTTATACTCACCTTTCTTTGGGAGGAAAAACAAGACAATTTGTTTCCATAAAGATTATAACCCTGGAAACCAAATTAGGCAGTTAATTTTCCTCTGTCTTACAGAATCAGTGGCAATCAGATTCAACTCCATGGTCATATTTATTGATTTTTTTTTAAATGTTCAAGAAAGAACATTTAAATTGAGAAGAGATTGTCATTAAGTTAAACACATACAAGTCACTAAAGTTTTTTGTAAAATGTATCACCTAATATACTTTATATACTATCTTTTCCATTGTTAGGTGCTATGAAGGCAGCACTGACTCACAGTGATGCTGTGAGCAACAGATCTGAACTCTGCCCTACCTTGTACCATCCTTCACATTGGTGCTACAACCACTGGGACAATACACAACAACATGATAGAGAGATTTCAGTTGTTAACAGTTTCATTTTTTATGGATCCACAGGCAACACCCTTGGACCTTCTGACCCCTTTTGACTTGGCCATTTACCACCTCTATCATTTGCTCAGGACATCACCCATGTTGCTAAGTGATCTTATGTACAAATTCTCTTCCTGCCCTGGGCACGAGTTCAGATCATCATTTAGTTCTTATCAGTCACAATCATGTTTCAGCCCTCAGTGTTTTCATGCTTTGAAGAGTTAAAATTTCTTTTTTAAATTAAAAGTTTAATGAAAGTTTATAGAGAACTTGGATTTCCATTCATTCATTGTTGTACATTTTCCTTCCTGCCCCACCTCAGTTCACTTTTTTCTTTAGGGAAAAAAAATTCTTTCATTGTTATACAGTCCCCTTCTAGCCTCATCTACTTTACTATTCAGCTCTTATTCTAGACTCTTGTCATGCCAATAATATCTAATTATCTACTCCTTTTATACATTTCTCTCCCTCATCTGTTTCAATGCCATGTACATTATTTATCCCCTCTTTTCTTAGCTCCCCTTCAACCCCCATGTTAGTTTTGTTTTATAACAGTGGCATTATGCAGTATTTGTCCTTTTGTGACTGAGATATTTCACTCAACGTAATGTCTTCCATGGTCACCCATTTTGAATAATATTTCATGAGTGTCTTGTTTTTCAGTGCTGCATAATATTCCATTGTGTGAATATACCACAGCTTCACTATCCATTCGTTTGTTGATGGACACTTGGGTTATTTCCAACTCTTTGCGATAAATAATAAACAGGTGTGCATATATCTGCTTGGGTGGCAGTTCTGGTTTCTTTAGGGTATATTCCGAGTAGTGTAATTGCTGGGTCAAATGGTGTTTGTATTTCCAGCTTTTTGAGAAAGCACTGTACTGCCTTCCATAGTGGTTGCACCATTTTACACTCCCACCAACAGTGGATAAGGGTTCCAGTTTCTCCACAACCTTGCCAGTATTTATTGTTTGCTGCTCTGTTGAATTTTGCTATTCTTACTGGGGTGAAATGATAGCTCATAGTTGTTTTGATTTGCATCTCTCTTAGAGCTAGGGATTTTGAACATTGCTTCATGTGTTTGTTCGCCATCTGAATGTCTTCTTTGGTGAAGTGTGTCCTGTGCCCATTTTGCAGTTGGGTTATTTATCTTGTTGTAGTGCTCAAGTATCCTATAAATTCTAGATATGTCTCTTATCAGACATGTCATTACCAAATATTTTTTCCCAGTCTGTGGCTCCCCTTTTTACCCTGTTGTAGAAGGTTTTGGATGTGCATAGGATATTGATTCTTAGAAGGTCCCATTCATCTATTTTATCCTCTCTGGGTTGTAGGTTTTTCAGGATGCTTGGAAGACTGTTCATGTTGTAGATTAGGGCTTCTATAGTTCTTCCAAGCTTTTCTCTAATGAAATTTATAGTCCTTGGCTTTATTCCTAGGTCCTTGATCCACTTTGAGTTGGGTTTGTTTGTTTGTTATTTTAATGAAAGTTTACAGAGACTTTGGATTTCCATTCATTCATTGTTTTATTTTTCTCCCTGCCCACCCCTCCCCCAGTTTGCTTTTCTTTTTGAAAAGTAACATTAAATCTTCTCTCATTGTTATTCAATCTCTCCCCCAAGTCCCCTCCACTATGCTACCTTCATTCTTGACTCCTGTCATAATAATAATATCTAATCATATATCCCCTTTAAACGGTTCTCTCCCTCATCTGTTTCAATATGGTATACGTTATTTATCCCATCTTTCTCAGTCTCCCCACAACCCCTATGTCAGTCGTCTTTTATAACAGTGGCATTAGGGGTTAGATGTGGGTCTTGCTTGAATTTTCTCCAGATGGTTTTCCAATTTTGCCAACACCATTTGTTAAAAAGGCTTTCGTTTTTCCACTTAACTGATTTCATCTCCTTGTCAAAATCAGTTGACCATAGGTAGGTGGGCTGATTTCTGGATTCTCAATTCTATTCCATTGATCTATATGTCTGTCATTGTACCAGTATCACACTGTCTTGACACCATGGCTGCCTAGTAGGATTTTAAATTAGGGAATGAGATGCCTCCTACCTTGTTTCTAGAGTTAAAATTTCTAACAAAATGCGAAAACTTAATAGAGGATCCTTTTTCAGGTCCTCTAGCCAACCTGCTGATGCTGCCTGTCACACTTAATATTTTGTTTTGGTGCTGCTTTTATAATTGATTCTGGAAACATACCATACCTCTGACTGGATGGTGGTGGTTCTGTCCTGTAGATTCAGATTAACTTTTAGCTGACCCTCCTTTGGGTTTTCAGAGGCTAAAATTCTCATGGGAGGAGACTGCCTATCTTTCTTACATGGAGCAGGTGGTGGATACGAATAACATACCTGACTGGGTAGTATGCGTTTTATTTCTACATTATTACTCTTGAATTTTCTCCTTTGCTTTCCTTCTGCTGTTCCATTGTTAATGCATAGCTCTTGCTGATAAATGCCACCTTCTGTATGTTGCTTCTCTCATTCCCTTACTTTGAGCTGTCTGTTCTGAAGGCATTTGTTTATCTTGCTTTATTCCAATTTCACTTTGTTGTGGAATGCAGAACATCAGTCACACGCATGCTGGAGGGGGGGTAGTAATCTTTTCATTTTAAAATAATTTCAGTGAGACTAGGGTTGAGATATTTTTTAAAAAATCTTAATACCAGTGTCTATTATAGTTTTTGAATATAGAATTAAACTGGCTAAATGACTGTACTCCAAAGTACTGAAGAGCAATGGTGTCTCTCTGGAGACTAAGGTGCGTCTGATACAGGCCATTGTCTTTGCAATCATTTGTTATGCGTCAGAGAGTTGAACAGTGACTAGGGAGGATAGAAGGAGAATTGATGCCTTTGAGCTGTGGTGCTGGAGAAGAGTATTGAGGGTACCATGGACTGCTAGGAAAACAAACAGATTCATCCTGGAAAGGGTCAAACCGGGCGGCTCCTTGGAGGCAAGGATTCTGAGGCTCCATATAACATACTTTGGACGTGTTGTAAGGAGGGACCGGTCCTTGGAGAGGGACATCATGCTTGGTAGGGTGGAGAGACAGCGCAGGAGGGGAAGACCCTCTATGAGGTAGATTGATTCAGTGACTGGGGTAATTGGGATGGGTATATCGGAGATAGTGCGATTGGCACAGGACAGAGCAGAGTTTAGGGCTGTTGTACATAGGGTCGCTACGAGTCACAAGTGACTCCACGGTACATAACAACAACAACAATAAATGACTGTACTTTCTCAGCAGTCTTTGCATACTGCTAAGTTTTTAAAATCTTTAGATTACTGATATTTCTTTCTTAAAAAATATATGACATCAGTCATATATAAATTATCTTCCATTTGAAAAGTGGGAGAAGGATGAGTAATCTCTTCCCAGGTGATTAACTGCCTCTGAAAACCCGCTGGAGGGTTAGTTAGCTATAGGTCAGTTCTGACTTGATGGTACATAACAACAACAAAGTATTTGAACTATAAATATCTTACATTGCTCAATTTATAACTTGTCCTTGTTCACGTAGCATAATTTTTCCAAGTAATAGTTATTACTACTTTTATATTATTGTTCTAGTTGTATTAACAGCAGCCACCACATTAACTAATCAATATGCAAATCTGATCTCTAGCAATTTTGATGAAAATACGGTTTTCTCCTATGACTACCATATCTTTGTCATGGAAATGGTAATTATAAATAAAAATATTTTCTGTCACACTTTTGCTGGTTAGGAGATAATTAGATATATTAAAATATTCACAAAATTATTTTGAGAATCCTGTTCATATATCTTGGGGACTAGCAAAGAAAATTTCCCTTAGGGTATGCCAGAAGAGAAGCAGGTAGTTTTGATAATGAAATGAGGCTTTTCAGAAATATTTCTAAGATAGCTATATTGATTTAAGTAAGAATAGAATTGAAAAAGAAGGAAAGGAGAATGAATTGTTTTTCTTCTTTGACTATCAATAGTTTGGTTAATGCTGGCAGCAGAAACTTAATGGACAGTTTGTGTTGTCTATTTTTTCTTGTGCATTTTCTAGAACTCTGGGTTTTAATCTTTTTGTAATCAAAATAATTGAAACATCGTTTTAATTTTCCTGTAGGAGATGGAATAAACAGAGACTGAAAGACAAAGAAAAATGTTTACAACTGGAGGACAATACTGAGGACAGTGATGCTGAATTTGACGAAGGTTTTAAAATACCAGGTTTCCTGTTTAGAAAGCTCTTTAAGTATGTATCCTGGGCTCTGTCCTTTATATTTATCATCAAACCATTATGTGTAAATTAGTATTTTAGGAATTACAATGTTTACCTATGGGCCTTGAGGTACTTGTAGCAATTTATTGCAAATGTAGGCACAATCTAATGATGTGTTAGCCACATGCTGTTCATTAAAATTAAATGATAATAAATTGACTAAAGTGTGCATTGAGTATGTTTGTAGACTGATGAATCTGTATGGACCTATTTCAGCTGACTAAGAGCCGCACATTTAAAATCCATCTATGTTGAATTTTGTTGTTAATAATTTTAAGGGATCAACCTCTAATTCCTTAAGGCAGATTAACTTAATAGGATGAATTTAATATGAAAACTAGTGTTGGGGAGGCTTTTTATTTCTTCATGGAAATAAAAAAGCTGTTGAGATTGGTTTTGAATTGTCTTATAGTATACCTAAGGGACCAGTCCTTGGAGAGGGATGTCATGCTTGGGAGAGTGGAGGGACAGTGCAGGAGAGGAAGACCCTTGATGAAATGGATCAATTTTGTGACTGGGGTAGTGGGGGTAGGTGTGTCGGATATGGTGAGATTGACACAGGATAGGGCAGAGTTTAGGGCCGTTGTACATAGGGTCACTAAGAGTCTTAGGCGACTCAATGGCACATAACAACAACAAGAGTTTAATACTTTTGAGCTGATCAAATGTGTATAAATATTTCATGGAAATGTTCTGATATCAAAAGAGGAGGATGCCGTCAAACACCTTTAGGATTAAGTTGCTGTTTACATGTCATATGTAATGTAGCAGTTGTAGTGGAAGCCAGAGTCTGTTTGATAGATGGTATACTTATATACATAGCCTAGAGTCTCAGATGAAGACTATAAACAGTGAGGAACATTTTCTGTCTCAGCACTTCCTGGAATTTACTTAACAACATACCATTGGAAACCTCTGATATGCTTTAAATAGTTAAATGCTTAAATAGCTTCTTTTTGTCTCTTTTAAATCATCCATTGGCAGTTGGGAGTAGGATGCAAACGTCCCTGTTTTTAGAGTTGTTGGTCATACTGGACATTGCCACAAGATGCTTTCCTTCCAAAGAATTTATCTTACAATTTTAATTTTTCTGTCGGAGCAAGAAGCTGGGGGTAGAGTAAGTTTGTTTTTCATGTGTTTTGTCTTTCATATTCATCATCAAGCTATTTTGTACAAATTAATATTTTAAGAATTACACAGTTAGTTACCTTTGGGATTTTTCAACCCATTAAATATATAGGAAAAGATGAATCTTAAAGATAAGAAGTGACTTGGTTGAGTTACTGTAACAAGATAGAACTGTATAGAAATTCAGATTTGAATTATGCAACTAATTTTTATAGACTAATCATTTTATAGCCCTGAGAGGTGACTAATTTGTTTATTGCTTCTCCCAAATGAAAATTAACTATGAAAGGTAAATAAAGACATTTCTTGGCAGTGCTTCTCATCCTCTCTAAAGTGATTACTTTCACAATTCAGTCCAAATAGTATCAGTGTTGTACTAGCAAAAGAAATAGCCAAATTATTTATTAAACTGTTTTAACAAGACAGAATATTTGCATGTCTTGGCATAAACTCTCAAGAGTAAAGTTGAATATGTATTTTTGTTTAAATGTCTGATTTTCTAGCATAGAAAACTTATAATTAAAAATCTAATCTTTGCTTACTTAGATAAGATTCCATTTAATCCTCTGGTAGTTAATAAAAATAGTTGCATTTTTTTAAAAAATTATTCATACATTCCAGGAAATGTTTTGATTTTCATCTCTCTAAAAATAGTATTTTTAATATTTATAAATGTCATACAACTCTTTATTTTCCTTATATCACAAAATTAATTAGATTGTTAGAGACTGCATTTCTCTTTCATAATTAGATTTTAGCTAGACCAATTTAATTTTAAACTATAGATGTACTTTTACTATATTTACCATACTCTGTAGAATTAAATTAACAGTATAATTATACTCAGGGTAGTTGGTAGGTATAAATATTTATTTAAGTGCTATTTTCTGCAACATGTTTAACTTTTAAAATTCTGTTTTGAAAGTTTTCCCAAGAAATGCATTTTTCTACATAGAACCAATCAACTGACCAACTTCAGTCTTAACTTTTGGCTGTGGTGGCAAATATAATCTGGAGTTAATGTGACAGTGGCAGGTTACTCCAGTTAGCCATAGTTATTTTATGGTGCTTCATTTTGATGGGATAGCAGAGTAAAGTAATTTCTTTACTTTTTCTAAAGAATAACTTTTTTTATCTACTTCCCAAAGGTTATGAATAACCTATTTTATTGAGAAATTAAAGTAATAAAATTAGTCAGTGTCATTATGGAACCAGACCCCAGACTCTCTAACTATTCATATAAGGACCCATGCCTGCCAAAGTGTCTGGCAATTTTTAATGTGCAAGTGAGTTTTTTAAAACTATAGTCTGAGGATCTTCTGTTGTGTCGTGGGTGGTAAGAAAGGGCCACCCACTTTTTCTCATTGCTATAGTTATTGGAAATTTCCATTTAGTGATATGATTTATGAGCAGATACACATACTCTTCACTGACATGATTAATTTCAAAACGCCAGATCATTATATGAAAATGGTAGGTGACCACATCATTATTTAACTGCTGGATTATATAAGCAACTGCCAAACCACTGAGAATCATGGCCTGTTCCGGTTGAGACATACCTTGATATATGGGTAAAATAGTAGTTGTTGTTGTGTATCAATAAATCAGAAATAACCTCATTCCAGCCAGTTTTCTGAGTCAGTAAATCATGCGAGAGGAGATGGCCCATCCTTTTCCTATGGAGCAGCTAGTGGATTTAAACAGCATGCCTTTGGGTTGACAGCACAGCTCCTTACCATTACACTACGAGAGCTCCTAAAATAGAGTTTTTAGCTGTTGCCATCCATGTGAAATGTCAAATGATGAGATAGTTGAGAAATGAGGAAGGTGTAGATAATTTTTTTTTCTTTAAGCATTTTCTTCTGTGTTAACCACCTCCTCATGAATGTATAGTTATGTACCTGGAGATTACATTTGTACATGAGTTAAGACAGTCAGCATATTACTTCCCCCCACCCGGGTCATACAGGATCCCATCTCCCTCCTGAGCTTCCTCTAAGCCATCTTTGTTCTGCTTCTTATTTCTCTTGTGAATTCTCAGTATCTCTTCTACCAGTCCTTCTCATTTAATTAAGTTGATTGACCCTGAACATAAAGAAGTATTGAGCTTGTATTGGTTGGAGGTTGACTGGCTAGTGATTCTGGAAACTACTTTTACATCGAAACTATTTTTAGAATATTTTTTTCCCAAAGCTGAGATTATTCCAGTATAGCTACTTCGTGAACTTGAATTTGTTCTAGGATAGAATTCTTATTCTCAGCACATTTGACATTGATATTGTTAATAATTCTTTGTTGTATTATTCTTGTGCATTGTAGAATGTTGACTAGCATCTTTTGCCTATACCCACTAGATGACATTTGTACTACCCTAGTTGTTAAACCAAAAATGTCTGTAGCCATTGCCATTTGTTCTCTAGGATTGGTAGTTTTCCTGATTGGGAATCATTGTTCTGGAGTCTCCAAACTATATTTTAGAAGCAAGCAGTTGTGGATTTGATTTCTACCATACTTGTTTTTCTACTAGTGTGGCCTTGGCAAGTTACTTAACCTGTTTGAGCCTTTATTTCCTTAGCTTTACAATGGGTTGATAATCTCTCAAACTCACTACCACCAAGTCTGTCTAGACTGATAGTGACCATCTGTCGGATTTCCAGGGCTGCCAGTCATAACTAGAAGAGACTGCCCATCTTTCTCCTGAATGCCACTGGCAACATTAAAACAGCTGGAAACATAAGACCTTTTGGCTATGCACTGTGATACAGAGTTATTGTATAGCCAAAGCACTTGGCGTCATGACTTCTGGCTAGAGGCTCTTAAGTGGTAGCCATTTATTCTCTGACTGCATGCATATAGTGATAAAACCTACCCTTTCTGAATTAAATTATCTTCTATTAAAATTAAGAACCCTGATGGTCTAATGGTAAGAAGCTGCACTGCAATCCCAGACACATGCTGTTCAAATCCACCAGCTGCTCCATGGGAGAAGAGTGGGTGGTCTCCTGTGTGATTGTCTCTGAAAACCAGTTGAAGGGTCAGCTATAGGTGATTTCATGACACACAACAATAACAACATATTCAAATTAGACTCCATTTTAAATCCTCTCCTTTGAATTGCATACTCAATGTATATATTATACTTAACAAATATACTTAAGCAGCACATACTCATGCAGTGTTTTTAAGGACGAATATGGTAGCTAATAATGGCAATAGTTAAGGTCAGACTTCAAGTATTGTTTTTCTAAATATTGAGGGAAGGGAATGGGAGTGACATTAATTCCGACATTTTTACTGAGAAGAGGTCAAGTAAAACGTGTTCAGTATTAACTGAAATTCAGAAGAAAACTTTAGATAAAGACTTGTCAGGTAAAAGGTAGTATGCATACCATAAAACAATGAAACTTTTCTTTACCTCTGTTTTAAAATTTTTTTTCTAGCTTTTATATTCTTTTAACTTAAGTGTAGTTTGGTTTAAATTTCTTTAAATGGTTTATAATCTTCATGCCATGCTAACTCTTTTGCTCTGAAATTACTATTTTATGTTTTCATTTTTTAATGTATAGATTAAAGATATTGGTAGAGAAAGGAAAACACTAGTTCTTAGGCTTTGTGTGTTTATTTATTTTTGAGGGTCTATTCTTTTTCGTGGCCTTATAGACCTTGTGTAAAATATTGATAACTCTACACTTCCAGTATCTGTGCTAATCCTCAAGTAGGTTTTGCTTCAAAATAGGAAAAAGGTTGTTTCCAAGTTAGCTTTTCAAAGATCTTCTGTAGGCTTCTCCTCCCTCCCCCAATTTTGTAATGCTGACTCTTTAAATTGTTGTTTTTAGGGTTGTTGTTTTTTTTATTAATCTGCTTGTAAGAAGATTCATCTGTTATGTACTTTTTAGAGGAACTTAGATTTTATAACCATAAAATTTTAATTTAGCCTTCAGAAAGATACTATTAACATGTACTTTTCAAGAGTATAAGCTATAAATTGTACTGTCCTCTGTCATATTGTCTTATTGGTAGTCAGATTGTAAAATACTGTTTTTTAAAAAATTTTTTGGTAGAACAACTAATGGAAATTTGTATACTGAAAATGCTTAAATTTTCCCCCTAAAAAGATAGTGAATAAAGTTCATGTTTATTTACCATGCTATTTCTAATATTGAAAAAGAAATAGTCCTTTAACTATCCTATTTGTCAGTTTAATTAGAAATGTGTTACCATTCTATAAAGAAAAAAATTGTGATTTTATGCCTAGGTGATCAAAAATGTATGACCTTATAAATATAATACTCATGTAAAACACACATCCAGCATGTTGCTGTGACTGGTATTAGAACCTAACCAAATGATTAATTCATGAGTACTTTCTGTTATGATCTGCATTATCCAACATTTGCAATTTTCTTTTTTCTTTTGGTGTTTGTTGTTGTAGGTACCAGCAGACAGGTGTTAGGTGGCTGTGGGAATTGCACTGCCAGCAGGCAGGAGGAATTCTGGGAGACGAAATGGGATTGGGCAAGACCATCCAGATAATTGCCTTCTTGGCAGGTCTGAGCTACAGCAAGATCAGGACTCGTGGTTCAAATTACAGGCAAGTGCTCCTCTGCAGACTGTCAGTCTGTGGAGTTCAATTAATATTTTATCAGATGTATTGCTGTGGAGGAGGGTCCTGTGAATTATTGATGACATTTCAATTACAATATTCCTTTAATTCTTTTAGTGGGGGACATCAAAGGAAAATTTTTACGAGACAATGGAGCTGTAGGGCAGGAGAAATTAAACATGTAACACTTTTAATGAATTCCAGGCATTGATGCTTCATTTTGCAGATGAGCCCCACTAGATATTTTGGGTCAATACAATGTCTAAGGTTAGCGTCTACAAATGGATTGTTTACACACTCAATTATGTTAATATCAATAGTTTACACAATATGGAATTTTAAATTAGATATAGTTACATTAGTTCCATTTATTGAATTTTACATTAAAATACTTATTTTGGCAGGAGACCAGGTGAGCATTATTGGATCCTTGGAAAAACCATCTTCTTTTATATCGTAGCATTTATAAATAGTTTTTTCTTTTGAAGTTACTTTCAATATAGTCTGCTCTGTATGATTTTAACAGCACCCCCTCCCCATTTCTTTGAAGTTTTGTTGTTAAGTGTTGTGAAGTTAGAACCTACTCATGGCTGACTTTGCAGCAGGTTTCCAGAGGCTATAAATTATAGGGGAGAAGACTGCACATCTTCTTTCCTGTGGGGCAGCTGATGGATTCAAACCATGTGTCTTTGGATTGGCAGCATAATTATGTACCACTAGGCCACCAGAGCTTCCTACAGGTGTTTGAAAGTTTTCCACAAATTCGAAAATAAAGCTGGAATTTCTTTTAAAAAAAGGCCAAAGATTTTTTATCTATATCTTTTTTGTAATTAAATAAACTGTGAGGTCTTTAGTATTCTGAGTTCATTAACACTTATAAGTACTTATTAATTAGTCTTTTAAGTGTGATTAGACTGAAATGATTTAAGTACCATGAAAATCTCCATATTTAAGATACAAATTACTTTTTTGTAACTCAGTTTTGGGACAGATGTTACTGGATAAATGATATAGAATATCTATTCTTGAACTAAAAGAATCCAAGTATTCTTAGGTTTCAGTAGGCTTCCCAAATGGATGACATCACATTAATTATCAGATTGCTGTAGTGTAGAAACCCTTACTACTCTTCAGATTGATCAGAGGACACCTTTAAACTAGCGTCACTGTACCTGAACCGGTAAGTCTGCTGTTTATCGGCAGAGTCAGATTTTCACTATAAAGGTGTAAAGTAGCTATTAAGATCATTCTTTTAGTCTTTACAGTTCAGTGATTTGCTTTTACTTCTTATTTCATAATTTAATAGCTCAGTACTGTGGTAAAGAGTTTGTAGTTTTAGTGTTTTAGAAATCCTAGTTGCTTATATAGAAAAAGTGTTTGGTAATTTAAAATGCTAGATATTTTTTTTTTTTACAATTAGTTTTTTTATTTTTTTTTCTATAATTATATTTTATTAATTTTCATAAACATTTACAGAGATTCTGGGCTTCCACTCATTCATTGCTGCACCACTCTCTCCACCCTCCTCCCAGTTTGTTCTTGTCCAAATACCACAGTGCTTGTCAAAGCCAGTTCTGATTAATCTTCTTTGTCAGTGTATCCTTTGCCATTCCCTATCACTCCTCCCTGAGAGAGACTTCACCCTGAGTCATAAGGAAAAGGGGACGGCGTATTCTCTTAGCTACTTCCTGCTGAAAAGGGACGCTGTGGGTTTCAGGGTGAAGATCTTCTCTCACTACTCTAAAGGGCCCCTTTGGCAGTAGGAAACACATAGACTATTATGGAGATTGATTTTGGAATTCAGATGCACTCTTATTGATTGTGCTTGGCTGTACATGTACATATCCTTCAAGATGTATCATGGGGGTGTTGCAACCTAGAAGACACGAATTTGGCTAACAAGTTATAGGTACATGAGTCCAAAAATTATGGAAAAGTAAAAGAAAAGATTCTTTCATTGTTTTACAAACACTCCCCCAGGTCCCCTCCACCATGCAGCCCTCGCTCTAGTCTCCTGTGATGACAGAGATACCCAGTTACATCTCTCTTTTAGACGGTTCTCTCCCTCCTCTGTTTCAGTGCAGTATACATTATTGAACCCATCTTACTCAGTCTCTCCCCAACCCCAAGGACAGTCCCATTCTACAACAGTGGCATCATGTAATATTTGTCCTTTTGTGACTGGGATATTTCACTCAAAATGCTAAATATTTTGTTATTAACAAAGGAATTGTTTAGAAGTAGGGGATTTTCTTCACATTCTTGAATTCTGTTGTATTTTGCCTATAAATCATGAAAACATTCCAACCCAGTTTTTTTCCCTTATCTATAGCTATCATTAGTGTAACATTTTAAAAAATACTTGCTCTTAATAAGTCTTTGGTTAATTTGATTTTTGTGTGTGTGTGGTGTTTGGGTTTTTTGTTTGTTTGTTTGGTTGGTTGGTTGGTTTTAGGGTAACTGAAATGCTCCAAGCCACACAGATAACTTTCTCTCTCTTTCTTTCTTAAACAATTTCTAGGATATTTTTTATTTTCCATATCTTCCTATTACTGTGGAACGTGTGTGGAGTCTAATACTCTGGAACTCAGAAACCTAAAGTCATCCCTGCAGTGTAGTTTTGTTCTAAAAATTCAAACATGCCTTTCCAAGTAGTGACAGTCCTGCTAGGAGTGAGGTCAGGTCTAATAATGAGAAGCAGCTGTAATCAATTAATTATCAATGCACATATCTACTTTTCCATAATGAAATAGTGTAGCATGTTGGATTTTAGCCCAGATTATCTTTATTAAACTCCTATCAGTAGAAATGATTTCCCAGTATGTGGTTATAGATCAGCTAAAAAACTGCACTAATATGAATAAAAGTATACTAGATCTCTTCTTAAATGTGACTGAGTGAATTTTATAATACTTGTACAACTATTTTATAACACATCCTTCTCTGAAATGAGATGATCTTGGCATTCTTTTGGTTTTGTCCTAAAGGCCAGTCATCAGCCCTTGATGTTAAAAAGGTCTCTGCAAGCAAGAATGGCTTTACTTCATTGAGTGTATATTTTCCCTGAAGCTTTGCAGATTGTTGATACTTGGGGCCCAATTTTTTGGAAGAGAAGTATTTTTTTATATTGTCATTACAATTTCATTTGATCATTCGTACACATTTTGTTTTATAACACCTATAATTGATCACTGTAATGAATTAAAATATCTGATCAGTCACTTACTGTATATTGCCTTTCTCTTCATCCAACTTGTCTATTTTTTAAATTGGATTTTCATTCTGACATTCATAAGCAATTTGTTTTATAACATTAATTATAATTGATCAGTGCTATTTATTACAACATTTCATCAAATTCTCATTCTACCTAGTTTTTCCCTTCGCCCGACTAATCCGTCCACGGATCTCTGCTCCCTTTGTCCTCCCCTCCATCCCTGTCAGTCCTCCATGGTTATTTCTATTTGTGTGTAAACCTTTCCTCAGCTTCCCCCCCATTATTTATATTTATATATATATATGTATATATCCTGCTCCAATTGTTAATTACAAGATATACTATGTCTGATCATCCACTCACTTAACATTGACCTTCCCTTCATCTGTTGAAATAAAATGTTCACTGTCCTTTCATTTCATATTCTCTCTCTCTCCCTATTTCCTCTATTTCTGTAACCGTACTAGGTTGATTCTCTCCATACGTAAACATTTTAGTTTTCTTTTTTATAACAGTGGACCCATAAAGTACTTTTGTCTTTTTTATATCTATGTTATTTCACTCAACATAATATCCGCTAGATTTATCCATGCTGTGTAGTGTTTAACGAGTTCTTCCTTGTTTGTCAGTGCTATATAATACTCATTTATATGAATGCACAATTTTTTTATCCATTTTCTTGTTGAAAGGCACATGAACTGTGTCCATATGTTTGCTATTGTGAATAGTGGTGTGGTAAATATGGAACGTGCATACATTTGTTTGTTTCGCAGCTCTTATTTCCCCAGAAGTGGAATTGCTGGATCAAATGGTACTGCTATTTTTAACTCTTCGAGGATGTTCCAAACTACCTTCTACTGTAGTTGCACACTTTGCATCCCCACTAGCAGTGCATGAAAGTTCCAATCCCTCTACATCCTCATACCATTGAGTCAATACTGACCCATTGCTGACCTTCCAGTGGGTTTTCAGAGGCAGTTAATTGCACAGGAGGAGATTGCCTATCCTTCTGTGGAGTGGCTGGCAGATTCAAACCACATGTATTTGGGACTGTAGCACAAATTCTTACCACCAGAGATCCGTAAAACTGTCCTCTTGAGTTTTTCTATTGCTGCTGGAGTTGAGATGATATTGTTTAGATTTGCACCTCTCTGATAGCTTGAATTTTTCTTCATGTGTTTTTTGCCATCTGAATGTTTTCTTTGGTGACAAGTCCTTTCATGCCTTCTGCCCGTTTTGTTCAGGTACTGGGGCTTTCTATGTGAGTCTCTTGTCAGAAATGTTATTTGCCAAATATTTTCCTCCATTTAGTCTCTCTTTGTTTTTTGTGGATGTTTTCTTTGAGTAGATATTTTGTGTCTCTGTTTAGATTTGTGTCATCTGCCTAATACAGATTGTTAATAGATCTTCCACCAATCCTGACACCACACTTCTGATCATAGAGCCCAGCCTCTCAGATAATTTGTTCTGCATACAAGTTGAAAAGGTATTGAGATAGGACACATCCCTGGCATTCAATTTTCCCCATTTTGAGCAGTGTTTCCCTGCTCTGTTCTGACGACTGCCTCTTGGTCCAAGTATAGGTTTCGCATTAGAACGATCAAGTGTTCTGGAATTCCCATTCTTCTCATAGTCAGCCATAGTTTGTTATGTTCCACACAGTCAAATACCTTTGCATTGTCATTGAAACACAGATAGCATTCTTTTGGTGTTCCTTGCTTTCAGCTAAGATCCATCTAACATTAGCTACAATATCTCTATGTACGATAGC